ATATATATATATAAAAATATATATATATATATATAACATAAAAAGATTAATTGAAGCTTTTTATGTTACATCCCCCCTCGCCCAAAAATGCTTCATTGCAATCCAAAAATTTTAAAAACTATCTATTTGCAAAATCTTCCCTCTGATAAAAGCACAATTAAAATGAAAATAATCAAATTTGTAATATTAACAATATATAATAGTAATATGACTTATAAAAAAAATACACGTTTGTACACATGTTAAAAATAATAACATAAACTGTTCGAGGAATAAAAAAAATTGCAGTAGAACTACTTGCAAACTTAAAAGTTTGATTTTCATTTTTAATAGTTTTTTTGACTTCAGTTTTTTCAGTTCAAAGTATTTTGTTTGAAGATCACAACAAAGTTTTTTCACCATAAGAAGTATTCACCATAATAACACAATTCAAGTTAACTGTTCAATCATGATGATAAAAATTTATAATTTTTTTTTTTTTTTTTTTAAAGTGTAAGTTAAAATGTAAAACGCATAATACAAAAAACAGTTTTACAGGAAAAATTTCCATCTGAAATTATTATAGAAAATAAATATTTATTTAAGAAAAAAAAAATATAGAAAAGAAAAGAGAAAGAAACATGAATTGCCTGTTTTGCACATAAGTTAAGCCACGGATTTCTCCGAAATGGATTTGCACACGGAAAAATTATATAAATTAACAAAGAAATTTTTTAGTAAATAATTTTAGCCATGGATTTACCCGAAATGGATTTGTACATGGGAAAATTATATAAATTAGCAAAGAAATTCATTTAGTAAATAATTTTAGCCATGGATTTGCCCGAAATGAATTTGCACATGGAAAAATTATATAAATTAACAAAGAAAATTTTTAGAAAATATATCTACAACAATATACGTTTGACTCAATGATTTTATATAGAATTTTATTGCTTTAGTTGGGTATCCATTGTTTTTTTATCAAATTTTGAAAGAGTTTATCTATTTGTTTTTTGGATAAATAAATATTACTACATATTCTTTTAATTCTATCCATTTCATTAAAAGTGGTATTTAAATATATGTTCCTAGAAACATTAGAATTCCAAGTAATTAGTTTATTTATATTAAAATTAAAATCATTTTTTTTATCCTATAAATCAACAAAGCAGATATTTTCTTCTTTTATAATACCCAAATCCAAAAGATTGAAATTAATATTATCATCATGATTACGAAGCAAGATTAATTCCTCGGGGTAAATATTATTTAATAAAATAGTATAATCTTGAAAATTAAAGATAATTAAATCATCAATAAATCTAAAAACAAATTTAATACTAAGAGTATATTTTTTTCGTAATAATGCAAAATTAAGTTATCCAAGAGAGATGAATAATTAGATCCTTGTGATATTCCATCAATTTGAAGAAAAGTATCCCTTCCATTGTAAAGATAATTATTAAAAAGACAAAAATTAATCAGAATTTCCCAATAATCAAAATCGCAACAAAGAATATTTTTAAAATCATAGTAATAGTTCAAAAGGACATATTTTAGTTAAGAAAGGGGAATGCTATTGAAAAGATCCTGGAAATCAAAAGTCGCAATAGAACTAATTTTATTATGTTTTATGAAATCCAAAATCGGTTGATTATTAGTGATAATCCAAGAGAAACCTCCTTTAAAAATATTGTTAATAATTTTATTTAAATAGTTAGAGAAAATGGTGTCAGGTTTAGGATATAGGTCAGGATATATATATATATATA